CTCCACAAGGAGAGAGATAAAGGAATTACATATTTTTTGCAAAATAAAAGACGCTCCTGGGGTAATTCTCCAGTGACTTTCGCGTACGCATTAAAATGTCACGACACGAATAATTCCCGTCCACGCTCAACGGTGGAACTCAGAATTGCACGCACGCACATCTAATCCCGGTGACTCTAATTACATCAACCGCCACGAAGGACAACTTTGCAAGCGATAATTCCAAACACACGTTTCGAAAAGTATAATCTGTCCTACTTAGGACGACACGGGGCACACCGGCATGTGTTTCTTTCTGGACATAAGAAGGAGAAAGGTAATGCACGGCATTACACGACCTTTCGATCGTCCGTTAAATGTTTAAAGTCCCTTAAAAATTGGAACGTCTCGCCACTGGGAACAGAGAGAGACAAGGTCCGGCATATCCACATTCCCAGTTTATGTCCATTTCCATGTAAAACGCAGGGCAAAATTAGAGTTCTGCATATTTTAATCTCTGTCAACATGGATGCGACATTAAGGAACGTGGCGCATTCATTAAAATTCGGTATCTGACAGTACTGAACGGCTGGAGGATTCCCCAGCAGGGAATCCCGAAGTCAAGATCCCCGGCTGGGTACTCGACGCCCAATCATTTTGGCGCAGAGAAACGCACATACGCCTTCCCCGTCATCACTCAGAACGGATTTAAATAAGGACTGCAACGTGCCGACACCAAATTTCGTAAACTCCGTTCGGCAGTTTTCGAGTTGCTGCACGCTGATAGTGAGCAAGCGGGCAGGCAGAATGCCGAAGCGATTTTACACCAGTCAAATAATGAAGTGCTTACGCAACTCAGTTTTCAAATAATAACAACGCACCGCAGACACAGCGCCCTGTTCCACATTGCACGACCATTGTTTCTTGCCAAATGGCGTTCTGCCAATGTCGAAACGGAAGCACAACTATCAGGGGCAAGAAATCACATGGTCAAGACGGTTCGATAATTAAAATATTCTTCTTAAATGTGTTTCAAGCAAACATGTTGAGAAGTTTCATGCGCGTCTTATCTCTGCAGTGCACATTTTTGTCGACGTAAAACTAATGGCTGCTTTAGCTGTTTAAACAATTCGCGAGTCATCTTATCCTAAAGGGAAGTTTTCGTGCTCCAGGGAAATTTTACTGCGTTAGTTTAAACACCTCATTATTCATAATTATGTCACCTTACGTTCAACGCTAAATTGCGTAATCAGTTGGCGAAGAATCGATAAAGCAAACATTTTATGCAAACGTCTGGAGCCTACAACCACTACCAGCTTTCTGCTGTTGTTTCAGTCACGGTTCAATGAAATCAGCGAAGACAACAGAAATCGTGCACGATCGGCTTTTCGAAGACCAAAGTATCTAATTTTAAAGGGTAATTTTGACCATTCACGTGTTTAACACGCGACGCACCTAATGTGAAGATCGTTACTTCTCAATTAGCGAACTGCTGATTAGTAAACAAAAAAATACAGAGAGTAAACGAGGTCTCCACGACCGTTACGAAGAGAAATCTGAACTGTCTGCCCTGGCCTGTGAGTCGCCACTCACCACTAGGCCGTTTCGGCTGGACCGTCGTCGTCGTCGGAACAGAATGACGAAGCGACCTTTAGCGCGCGCTGCGACGGCATTGATAAGAGGACCCGCAGGTTCTTACCCCCGGGGGTTCGGCTCTGCTTTTCGGAGGATGGCAGTGGACACTCTTCTGACTTCGTGGCCAAAACACACTCCACCCTTCTTTTATTTCAATACACAATCATATTTCCCACTTCCTTCACGGCCTTCCTGGCCACTTATTTGCAGGGGTCGTCGGTTCGAATCCGGCTTCAGACACGGATGCCCTTTGTGCTGTGCTGTCACGTACGTAATCGACAGGCGTAAAACACTAATATATCCACGTAATTTGAATCTGCGACTATTCCTAGACGCGTGACCCGATTCGCTGGTGGCCCAGGAGACAGCCAGCTTCGTTCAAACTCGTCGCCGTGATAATCTTACATATCACAATCTATCACGCGTTATCATCACAAATAAATAGGCTTACACGCCACAGCAGTCGGCTCCGCGATATCACGTGCTATTCAGATTCAGGACGAACGTAATCCCAAGTCCGGTACAGACATCGCCTGGCCTTCGCTATCGTCAACGCACGCGGCAAATTCGAGACAGAACCTCACACAGGTCCTCCTACCTCACTGCTTCTTCGCAGCCTGCGACGACCTAAACCTCAGACAGCGTCGAATGGATCACGCGGACAAACCTAATCGCCGAAGGCAAATTCGCGCAATTAAAAATGAAAAGTAAAGATTTAGCAATTCGATCCGTCACATTGCTGACGAAATGTTTCCAACTGCGAAAAGAGAGACATGGAGTACTTCCGGGGAATGGTCTCTTTTCTGTTATGTAATTTGTAGGATCTGAGGTTTCCACGGCGGTGAGCCCGAAGATGGCCGTCTTCTCGGTTGTTGCGCCGTGGAGTCTTAAATGAACTTGTAATTCGCGTCACAGCTTCTGCACCCCCGGTTTGGGTGCTTATCTTCATACGGGGAGACATTGGTGTGCGGGAAATGTAAAGCAAAGACGCGTCGCGACGCCAGACGCTCTTGGCGGAACGGCGGGACGCGGGCTGACGCAGATCCTAAGTAATGTGTCTGGGTTATGCCGAGAAATTCCCAAAGACAGACGACAGACTCCAGCCATGAACACGTAGGTAAGAAGTTGGATGACATAACACAGTAAAACGTTCACCCAAAAAAAGTTTATTATAGTTAAAGCGATTTTCGCTGGCACAAAGCTGACCAACCTCATGTCGCGTGAAATTCACACCTTTCCCGAATTTGCGTGTGACGGACCGCTGAGAACAACTGCTCGGCACGTGAGGTAAAAGAGAATGGCTTAGTTCTCGATCATGCCAAGCAGCAGCACAGGGACACGGGTTTAGGCGATCAACAAGTTCTGGCTCCCATAAATTATCTTCATGGCGCCCGGCGCGATGTTATCACATCAATGGCAGAATCTCAGAGCTATAATTACAGCTCAGCTGAAATATTCTAGCCACGCATCAATCGGGAAGTTTCGGCTGGAAAGTTGCCTTCCAGCACTGGATGCTTGATTCAAACCTCACAGTGGCACGAATATAAAACAAGTTCCTCGCACGTTACGAGCGAAATAACCAGACAGAAGGAAGTTACTCTACTCGAACCACGGGCATTTAGCGTTCAGTCGACGAAAGGCCGTACGCGTCCTCAATTTTATGAGGCAAAATATCACTCCGCCAAATTCGGGAGCCCACTGACCACCCACTCGTCTCTACTAAACGGAATTTCCTTGCGAATCCTCGCGTTTTCGAAAGGTCACGTGTAAATTCTTAATAGGTTCTCCTGCAAAACGGTCTAAATACGTTCCACGAACATCAAGGCGCGTTCTACAAACTACAAAATGTAGTAGAATCCGCACAACTCGGGCCTACTGACGCTCGACGTGAAATTTTGAAGGAAGTGTAACCAACGCCAACTCGGTAAAGGCGAAAAGTAGAAAGTTCGTTCTTCTTGTTCATAAAACAACCGCAGATAACGGACGACAAGTCCCCGCTGTCCCACGTGTGTCGTCCATCATCACGCAAGCGACTTGAATGCGCGATGCCTTGCCTCTTTAGCCCCCGGTACTCGCTCGCTCATTCCAGCCAGAAATCATCACAGGAGAATCGACGCTCAATCTTCTCGCAAGCCAATTTCACGTTACGTTCGTCAGAGTCTCTTATCTGCCTGAACGTCGGGACAAACTGATCGCTCGTATCTTCAGACGTCCTACCAGATAACTCCACGTGTCTGGCGTAATTAACCTTGAACCTGTCCTTCGCTCGACGCTCGACGTACAACAGCAATTTGCTTAAATGTACTTCCGCTTGTAAATAGCACGAACGAGCGAGTTTCGACGCAATTCAATTTGAGTCCTCGTACATCCAAAAAATATGCCAAATAAAAATGACGGCCTTGATTTTTACAAAGTGCTGGGCGTTAAACATTGACTTCGGTTTGGAAACGGAACGCGATTGTGTCTTAAACGTTTCGAACCGCGGCGTTCTATCATAGCCTCGTGGGAACGAGACGCCGTTAATCAGGAGCGAATGCGTCAACTCAGTCTTTACGCAATCTAACATTCAAATTGTTATTCCGTCTTGCATCTACAGAATGGCTGCCTTCTGGGTAGTCTGGTACAAGTTGTTAATTCTTATTATTCGTATTAATTATTATTAGGCCACAAGGCCTGCGGATTTCTACCCCTGGGTCAATATTTTAAAATTTCCTTCGGTCAACTTCCACTGTTCATCTCGTCCAGACGAGATCCCCAACTTTGTCGATAGCGTCGTATATATTCCACGGCTGGGTCCACATTTCATTCCTCTTTCCGGATCACGACGTCAGAAGTAAATTAAATCGTGTGGCAACCAACAAAACGTCATTTCTTCAAAACAACAGTTACGCTACGTACGTACATATTTGAGTCTCGATAACGCCTTTTCAGCAAAAAGTTACGATGATCCTCACTGCACTGCAACAAACAATTGCTGGCGAGGCCGCGATATCGAGACTGCAGAGCCATCTACTCGGAAACTGGCGAACTATTCTCATTTCCTTATTCGTTTCGCGGGCAACTTAAACACTCGTTAATATTTTTTGGGTTAGGTTATGTTTTAACTAGGGGCGTGTTAATTCTGAGTAGACTGTTAGGTTTCGTCACATTCACGACAATGTGACGTCGATGACTGGACGCTGCTGAACTAGGCGACATTTCACACAGACGCACGCAAACCATTCTCTGTCCAAATATCCAAAATATTCCTCAACCTGCAACTTGTGCTGATGCTCACAGATACAATTCGTAACTACGAGTCAGAAAACGAAAAAAATGCACTACAGTTCAGTGCAAACGTCGCCGCCTGACGGACACAGAGAACAACAATCAGGGCGTCGGCTTACCTCGTCGGTGCTCGTGGCAACGGAGCTCAGACTTGGTGACACTGCATTATCCGGACTAACGCCGATCACGTGGTGGTTCTGCAGAGTTATCGTAGCAAGATTCGGGGCGCTCTGGACCTGTACGACGCCATTACGAAAGTCACCAGCACCAGTGACATCTAGCGGCTGCTGGAATGATTCGCTCAAGTACTGCCGCACTTGGCTCTTCTGTTTCTGGATCACGTGGTAGCGAGTTGGGTTCTCCAGGCCTGTCCGCACCTAGAACAGGTTTGAGGACGACATTGATTACGTGACTGGCATTAAGGAATTTAAGAGCTGCGACCGACAGACAAACAACGCTGTAAACAACCAACATTGCGTCACTATTTCCGGGAAACTCCTACACAACAAATAGTCGCTCTGTAGTCTGCTGTTAACTAATCACTCACGGAATATGGAGAGATAATGAGAGGAATGGAATAAAAATAGGTTTTGCGTGCCACACACTTCTTAAACAAAACCTGATGATATTTTCTATCACATTGCGGGTCGTGCAATGAATACGCCTACAGGCATAAAAATCATACAAACTTTCCTTCATATCAGACACAGATCGATGAAAATATATTCGTATTTCAGCTAATAAAATGTCCTAGCAAACACAAAAATGAGTCCTGGATTTTCTGTGTTATTGACGAGAATCCTCATACAGGAATTTGACATAGACAATATTTTTCCCCGGAGCATTCAATTAAATAACACCATTTCAAACAGCAGCGTCTTCTACATCTTCGGTCCTTCTGTCTACGAAAAGCCATCCCGCTACACACCATACAGGCGCTCGGGGGGAGAGACGTTATAGCTCCTACTCATTCTCAACCTCGGCACTAGATGGGGGTGTGGTCAGTGCTGAGTTCAGGTACTCACTTGCAAGACTTGCGGAGGTACGTCGACGCTCTGGATGCTGACAGGAACTTTGAGGGCGGCGGAGAGCGGCTGGAGACGCCGTTCCAGCTGCTGCTGCCTCAGTTCTGCCTCGCGACGTTCTTGCTGCTGGATCTGCTCTCTCATCAACTGCAGCTTCAGCTGAGTGCGAGACGTGGACGTCGCCGTCTTGAACGTCGGAGGACTGTTCAGAAACAAATATTTCATTACGCACGTCCGTGTGTGTCGGTCAAATCGGCCTCGGCCACTAACCCACATCGCCTTGCAGACGAAGACAAATGCGCGAAACACGTATTTCCACATTCATTTCCGAACTTGGGTTGAAAACTAAAAGAACTCTCTCCCTACAACCCAGGATATTCTCTGAAAAGTCGATTGTTACTCGGCTCGTCAAAGAACAGCCCACTCACTCTCTTCAGGAAACCCGAAGGTTCATCACCGTGTTCACAAAGGCCTTATCCTGAGCCAGCTGCGTCCAGTTCGCTCCATCGATTCCTATCCCAACGAAATCCTCCCAAAACACATCGCTGTCACGTAGAATTTCCGGTCTTCACGGCGGTGAGTCAGAAGATGGCCGTCTTCTGAGTTCCTGCGCCGCGTAGTCTGGTACGAGTTTACCGACATTTCAGAGGTCCTTGCCGCCTCCATCAACACGAAGATGGACGTTGCCGTCGGTAAACTTCTACGAGACTACACGGCGCAAAAATTCAGAAGACGGCCATCTTAAAATGAGAAACTGCAAATCAAAGCTAAGCGACGTAATCCTCGTCTACTGACACGTCCACTACATCCGAAAGAATACACAGGTTCGGCGAGACCGCAAGACACACATGACAAAGAACCGCACATTCGTCTGGCACACGGCCTGCAGCCACCAATACGTCAGCTGTTAACTCGCCGTCACTAGGGGACCTTGATCTCAAAATAAATACGCCCATTTCGAAACATCCAGTAAGAATTATGGTTAAGTTGGTAACAAAATGTGCGCGGCCATAGTGACGTCTGCCAGACGGTTGAAGAAATTTCGCGGAAGTGGAACTTCAACGCCTCCGACGCTAAAAGGTAAACCTTCCACGAGCAGCAATTTGAAGGCAATAACGCGCCTCGACGGGCTCTGTCGAAGAAAGAGTTCACGTCATTCCCATCTCATGAAGTGACGACATTATTTGGGGACCAAAATTAATGCTAATTAATCTACGCGTTACGCGTAACGTTTGTTACAGACACGTGGAGCAAGACGGTTGGTTATTCCTCGTGTCTGCGGTCATAAAACGTGGATGAAGGCGAGTTATTACAGTGGCTTTACCCTCAAGCACTGTAAATAAGTAAAATTGTAAGGTTTCTTATGGAGGACGCAAATGTTCAGAGAATGAATATGATTATAAATATTGTTTCAGCATTCAAAAGGTCTTGGGCTGAATCTTAAAAGAGTTCACTAATATTGGCACAGGAACAGTAATTATTCAATCTGTCAGTACATTAACGAAAACCCAACTCTCATAACGTGATCTACGTAGGTTGATTCAACATTGCCTTTCATGATTTTGAGAAAGGTCTCCATTTTGAAACCAGCCACTGCAAATTACAACGAAGCACGTTCATGCTGGCATTAAAAATGGTTCGTTAATGTTCAAATCGGGGTCGAAATTAATTTTGACACAAAACGGAGTTAACCCAGACCTTGCGTCAAATTCGGTATCAGTTGAGGGCAACGCAGCAC